TCTTTCTTTCTTTCTTTCTTTCTTTCTTTCTTTCTTTCTTTGGAAAGAGAATAGTTTCAGGCTTATCTGTGTCGTGAGGACAAACTCTGATGGCCTTTCTCATCTTTTACGTAGTCTCTTATTCATTGCTGCATATACCAAGATAGCTGACCAGTGAACCTCCAGGAGTTCTCCTGTCTCTAGCTCCCATCTGCCACTGGAGTACTGGAATTATGGAGACCTATAAATGCTTCCACTTTTACATGAGTGTTGGGAATCTCAGTCCTCACGTTTATACAGCAAGTAACTTCCCTAGCCTTCTCCCAAGTCTTACCACCATTAAAAAAAAATTAACTGTGGAACCAGGTTTTCTGGATTCATGTTTTCACTACACCCTTAATGAGTTCTGCAACACTGAGAAAGACACTTGACTCCCTGTGCTGTAAAAATCTCATATGTGAAATAATGATAATGATGATTATTATAATATTTATTACAGAGAACACATACACAGTCAAAGTTAAATGAGATGATTCTTCTTTTACTTGTATTGAGTTTATAATCATGTATGTTTTAGAAGAGATTTGTTTAAGGAAAGGACTTCATAGAAAAGTTTTCATTTTCATCTCTATTTCAATACAATGAGGTCTGGAAATACACTCAATTGAAAACAAGCACACATACACACACATACCTCTATCAATCTCCACCTTTTCTTCCATAAATAACTGACATTTTATTTGTATCCACAGTTGGTATCTTTAAGATAATCTAGCCTTTAATGATATACTAAAATAGAAAAATCAGAAGTCTCTTTTTACACAGTTTCTCAATGTGGCCTCTAAAGGATGCCCTTGACTTCACTTATGGCCAAGTTCTATGGTCTTTTCTATATCTGCCTGTATGGTCCTTGACATATGAAAGTGTCTTTTTGTTAGGCATCTTAGTTCAGATACAGTTTCCCTCATGCTGACAACTTCTGGCTTTCTGAAGCATGCCTATTGTCACTTGCCACCCAGGTATTTCTACCAGCACCAAGCTTGGCCTTCCTCCTTTATGCTTAAGGATGGATGGCGTTACACCTGTGCTCTGGGGGCGTGGTGTGGCCCGTGCTCTTTCCTCTGGAAACTCTAGGTCTCACATGTACTCTCTATCCTTTCATCGCAGTCCCAGCCACTTTTCTCCAAGCCTCATAACGTTTCCACTTGAATCCCTCATTACTACATCACATTGAACTTGCATTTCTTCCAAACCATCTCTCCACGCAGGCCCCTGTGTGATGATTAGGATTCATTTTCCACTTTACACTGAGGAGGCAGGACTCTGTAAGGAGATGTCTAGATTACTGTTAGTGTCAGAGATTGTCTGCTATGATTTGTTCTCTTAACTGTTGATCTGATGTGGTCACCTGCTTCAAGTTCCTATCATACTGGCTCTCTAGCAATGACGGATTATAATATTCAACCAAATAAACCCTTTCTCCCTTAAGTTGGTCTTATCACAGCAGCAACTAAAGAAACTAACACGCCCTGCTAGGGCTGTGACTAGCAGCTGTATTAACATGTCTTTACATCCTCTGGCCCATACCTTTGTATTCTGTTCTTTACTATGTGACCCTTTTGACATCTGGCTTTACTACCACCTGCCCTTTTGTGTCTAAACCACTGTAGCAGTTTCTTTCCAGGAGATGGCTTCTCAGCAGCACTCTTTTGCCACTTATCTTTGCTACCACCAGTGGGTTGATCTTCCTCTTGATAAACCACCCCTTCATCCCAGACCTTTCCTGCTTGCACTCACATCAAGTGCAGACACTTGTGTGGCTCTTGAGTGTTTCCAAACTCGTCTTTCAACCCATAGATCAAGAGTCTAGGTGAATTCTGATGACAGGCCTTGGCCATCACCCCAGCCACACATCTTCTATTCATGTCTCTCATCCAATTATATCCAAAGCTAGCGCTAGCATAGCATCTGTAGCATCTGTAAGTGTGAGTACATGCACATAATGAACGTAACCTCTGGATATTACCCCTGAAAAAGACCAAAGACAAACTTGCCCTCAAATGTTTTAGTACATAAATGAGGATTCTGAAATCCTGAGATAGGTATTTAAGAATTTAGTAGCTGTATATTAAGATGTGTAGTTCTTTCTATTCATGACACATTATACCTTAGGGCTTTTCACATTGTTGATACAAATTTGTACTTCAGAATAATTTTATTGTTTATTAAACATAAATATCACTTAAGAAATCAAGCCATCTACAACACTGAGTCTAAGAAAATAACAGAGCAGATGTGAATAAGTAATAGGAGGACTGAAGATGCTGTGATATGTTGTAGTTTGTCTGCATTGGATGAATAGTTGTGACTGGTTGAGAGTGCATATCAGTTCGGGAAGCAGTGTTTGCCTGGGTTCCCTAAGACGTCTTCATAACAAAATTAGAGAGCCAGTAATTTTCAAAATAATGTCAAAGGTGAAGAGAAGGTCATCAGGTGGATGTTTCTGCTCTCTGGGACAATGTCTCCCACCTCTTGGAGACTGTATGTTATCAGCCAGTGCTGAAATCAAGGGAGGGGACCTCAGCATCCCTCACTGGTTACTTTGTCAGTCTGCTTGAGCAAGCTGCAGGGATTAAGTTTCTATTTGCATCAGCATAGATGAGTGCCTGCTGATCATCCCTATTTTAGAGGTTTCAACAGCCTGCTTGAGAAGCCCCACCTTTTAGGCCTTCAACCAGCAACTTTAACCTCTGACCAAACTCTGAATTACAGGCTTCAAAATAATTCTTTGTGGGAGGACACAAATAGTTCGTGGTTGGAGGTCTGCTAATTACGGGGTTTGGAAACCCTAAAAATGCAAAAAACTTTAAATACTGGAACATAGAAAATAATACCCACCATGCAGCAATACAGTTGTGATTTGAATTCTTCTAGTATTTCACAGATTAAATGTACAGGCCCCACAAGACTGCTCTCAATTTAGACACTTGCTCCAAATCTCAGGATACCTGCACTGCTGGCCAACTGGCTAGTGCTACAAGTGTCCCTGTGCATAACCCTTCAGGCACCCAAGAAAACATTGTACAGGAAGTTTGATACTAAAACACTAGAATTAGGAGTAGCAAAATAATAAGATTCAGAGGGTAAGTCCTGGAAGCTTCCATGTGTCCCTTGGTTTTGTTACCTCCTGGGGAAGCATGTGTGTCACAAGCAGGAAGCTTACTAGAGTGTTCAGAGTTTTATCGTGGTCTCATTATACAGGCATGATTGCCTAAACCTGTGGTAACATGGAATGCATATCCAGCCCCACTCTCATTCTTAGGCTTTGACATCTCCAGTCTGATTTCCCATGGCAAAACACCTCTTTAATGTCATAATCTTTCTTGTGTGTCTAGTCCCCATCAAGAAACTTTCTAAGGACCCCACAGTAAATTTCGCCATGAGCATAGACATAAATATAGTCCCAGGGAGCCCATCATGAAAACAAAGAACTTCTTAACCACTTAAGAATCCTAAGATTCTGGAGCCTATTTCCAGGAACCCAAGACAAAAACCAAATATGTTCCCTGTTATGACACTTTAAGAAAATACAACATAGATTAGATGTGTTAAAGTCACAGGACGCCAGAAAGAGAAAGTTCTTGGGTTTATGATAGAAAAATTCACTTAAAACTTTTTATTTGAACAAATTGTAAGGGGCCCTTGATCACTATTAGAATCTCTTTCATTTTTCTCTTTCATTCATTCCTTCAACAATATTTATTGGACCAGTAGTCAAGATTGTTAAACTTAATTGTTTCTATAACATAGTAAAAAGAAAAGGTGAACTGTTTGAAGTTACTCTCTGATTTGATTCTATTCTAAATGAATCTTAGGTCTGAAATCATTAGTTATGTTTGCTTCTCAAGAATAGTGGAGGAAATCCCCAAGGTTTCAAAATATTGGGCACTGGGAGTTGTAAAAAGTTTGGGAAAGCAGGCAAAATACAAATAGGGATTCCATTTTGGTTGATCTGAGACTACCACTTGGTCTTATGTTTGTAAATTAAGTCAAGAAGTACATTGAAATGTCATGTTGTAAATTCTTCTTTTTTGTGTTTTCTTATAATTGGAGCAACATACTAATTTCTACAAGTTGTGACTACTAACAGAGAGCAATCACCTCACAGACTTGTACCGGAGAGATGAGAACGTTCGGGTGACAGGCAATGGCCACGTGCAGAGTCCTCGCTTCCCCAACAGCTACCCAAGGAACCTGCTCCTGACATGGCGACTCCATTCCCAGGAGAAAACACGGATACAACTGGCCTTTGACCATCAATTTGGACTAGAGGAAGCAGAAAATGATATTTGTAGGTAAGAGAACATTATTCTTTTTAGTATTCTAATCATAGTGGGAGAACGTGAATTAAAAACATTGCATAAAATATTCTTCTTTGGAATTACCCAAGACATTTTTATATTAATCACTTTTCCTATTCCTAGAAATTTGAGGGAGAAGAGGTTGTTTTGACACACAATTTGGGGATATCATTTCACTTGTTGTGTCTGGTCATTTTGTATCCGCTGTGAGGAAGAAAAGAGGGATGGATGTTGGTAGCCTTACCTTTCCTTCCTTTTCATGCAAGTTAGGACTTAGAGAACAGTACCACCATCTTTTAGGGTAGGTCTTCCCAATCAAACTAACCTAATAAAGATAATCTTTCACAAGAATGACCAAAAGCTTATCTCCTGGATGGTTCTAGATTCTGTCAGAGTTTTAATCAGTATTAACAATCACCATGGCCATCCTTTTTTGAAGGTGTTATGCTGGCACTGAAGAAGACCCACAAAAATGTATACTTCCCTCAGTCACTATTGCATGTTTCCCTGAAGAAAAAAAAAAAAAAAAGATCAACTCTGGGAATCTGTGCATTTCCAAGGCCCAGAAAGGCCTTTGTAAGCATGTAATGAATCTAATCCAGGTCCCCAGAGCTGCATACTGTAACTCTGGTGATTGTCTGCCACTAGCACAAAGAGCAAAGCCCCTGCTTGCTTCAGGGCTTGAGGGTTACTGTTACCATGACAAGAGATGGTTACAGAGAACCAGGTCAGAGCCTTCCTGACACTTTTGTAATAGGCAGAAGAAAGAAGCAGAGACAACCTCAGGATCTATGTGCTCCTCAGATGTCTGCTTCCTGACAGGGGAGAAGATGAAAGCAGGTTAATCACCCTTCCTCATTAGAATGCTTATCAGAGAAAGTCCAGGCCTTTATTCTTTGGCTTGTTGGCTCACAGCATCTTACTCCCTTAATTATCCTGCCTGAGACTTGGGGAGGATTTTTTTTTTTTACCTCTTTGTGCTTTTCTGGCTGTACTCTTTCTGCATTGTCAATGAACTCCTGAACTACTAAATCCTTTCCACAGTTTATTTTCCTTTGAATAATAAAAGGAGGTACATCCGATTTGGTTGTCCTTTGTTGAATATTTATTATAATGATGGTTTTTATTATGCTGCTGGGTTTTTTTTCTCAGAAAATAATGTCATTGACTATTATTTTCTAGGACCACAGAGGGTAATGTATGCCAGAAAGCAGAGACAAATATACATGTGAAGAGCTAGTTAATATTTACAATGAGAATAAACTAAAGCTGATCTTGTGTCTTTTCAACCTTGAAAGAGAGAACGAATTTTTTTTTCTGACAAAAGAAGGAGGGAAAAAACAAAGACAATAAAATGCTATTAAAAGAAAGGTAAAGGTAATAACAGGGACGGTAGTGCAGACTGTTACCATCTAGGCTGTCTGACACTGTCTTAGCTTCCTTTACAGCTGCTGTGCTAAAATAGCCTGACATTAGCAACTCATGGGAGAAAGGGTCCATTTTGGCTTACAGTTCAAAGGTGCAGTCTACCATATCAGGGGGGTTAAAGCAGCTGATCACATTGCAAGGCCAGAAATGAGAATTGCTGCATTCTGCTGCCCAGCTAACTTTCTTGTTATTATGCAATCCACCACCTAGGACCAGGGTGGTGCCTCCACAGAGAATATATCTTCTCACCTTAACTAACCTGATAGAGATAGTTTCCCACATGCTTGCCTCTGTCTCTAGTGATTCTTAACTTCATCAAGTTAACAATTATGTATTGTCATAAACACCAAATATGTGAAGTTGGGAATTTGTTTTTTTCACTCCAAACAATTCTTTAACACCTGCTGAGTGTCCTACAGTTCGATATAATTCTGGCATAGTCACTTGGGCTTTACGTCTGACTCCACAGGGGCAGATTTCAGTCCCATGAGTCTCCCCTTTGTTGAATGTCAGGTTTAGGTCTCAGGCATCCCATTGGCTACTCTAACAAGTGTAATCAGAGAGGCCCACAACTCCTCCTAAGCTTTGCAGAATTGCTATCACAGCTCATAAAAATGACAGAAGCCCTTGACTTAAATGTTTAGCAGTTTAATATAAAGGATGTAGCTCAAGAAATTTGTCACAGAAGAGATAAACAAAGTACAGTATATGGAAAGAGCAGGTCTCCAAATGACCTTGATGTGTCCACCAACCCAGAAGTTAAGGAGTTTGTGGAGAGTTCATTATGTAACTGCTGGGCATGGATGGTGAGGAAATGCAGTCTCCAGGCCCTCTCTTCTCTCAGGTACACCTGGAACTGAAATGTTAAACTTCTAATCATTCTTTGAGCTTTCTGGTGTTCAGTCTCCATCCTGAAGTGCTCTGGGGGTATGATTGAAAGTTCATCATTGCTATAAACTGTGCTAAATAAAAATGAGTTTCTTCTTCTATCATTTGAAAACTCCAGAGGTATTGGCATAAAGCCAAAGACCAGGACCAGGTACCTGTTTTCTTATTAAAGAAAGGAAGCCACTGATAAACTGGGATTTTGGTCCTAGACAATATTCAAACATATATTAGGTTGGGTCATTTCTGGACCTTTCATCAATTCAAGTTGTTTCTTGAATTTTCCTGGATGAAGTACACTGATAAGAAGATGAAGGAGATAAATCAGAGCCCAACTCCATGGTCCTCCCCAACCTGGGATGTATACTCCATAGGGATGCAATGGAAAACTACACTGAATTCTTTAAAACTAAAAGTGATCTAGTGTTATTAGAAAATCTTTCAAATAGATTCATATTTGTGTACTAAATATGATTTACACATATTACATATAAAATAAAATGCAATTGATTTCTTACCATCTGCCCTGGACCTCGCTGCTCTGTACATTGCAATACCTTATTGCTTGAATAATGAATCTTTCTCAGTGTTTCTTACCTTCCAACCATATAAACATCAGATAATTAATTTATACAGCACTCGGCAAATATCTAGCTGGTAAAATTATAAAAACAACTTATTTTGCCTTCTGAGAAACTGAGGCAAAGTACATAGGGCTTCATAAATCACTGACAGGGATATTTAGTCAGCTTGTTATTATTTCTAGCTGTCCTTTATATCACCTCTTCCCAATGCAGTGAAAACTCTGGAGTAAGGAAAAGCAACAAATTCCAGTGGGTTTTTCTGAACATTCAGACCTCATATTTCTTATGCCACTTCCTTCTAGTAATCCTAATTGGAAAAAAATAAATAAACACATGAGACTTATATACCTCTTTTCACTGGAGTGATGACGCTTACTTGTGACTTTAACACCTGACTTCACTTTTGGAAAGGTGGAGATAAGGAGTAAGAATCTTGACCAACTGAAGGGTAGATTGTTTAATGGATCTTGTAGAAAGGCCCAAGACCTAAGGAGTCCTAGAATAGAATAAATGCTTTATAGAAAATGTAAGTATGTTACTGAAGGCACATTAAGCTGGAATGGATGGAGGAATCAAATGGGTACACAAAATAATTAACGAGTCTGTGATGTTGTTTATAGTCCTGGGGTTCTGTGTTTCTGTGACCACTGAGAAGAGTAATCCTGTGTTAAGGTAGAACTCATTCACTCCCAGTTGTAACCAGCCTGCAGTTATTGGTTAACACACATAGTCCCTTATAGTATATGCCTTTCTTTCTGAAAGAAAAAAGTCATATGTAATCATGTCTTCATTCTAAAAGACAGTTTTTAAACAAAAAGAGACTCCTTGGTCTACAAAGATGACAATCATGTATTTCTCAAAGAAGCCTTGGTGAGCAAATTGATTCAAATGAAAAGTGGTTTGCAAGCTCCTACAGTGACAACTGGGACATGCAACTCAACCTACCTTTAAATTTGTTTTTCCCAGAACACACACTAGGTGTCATGTTCTGAAACTTCTTTTTAATTATATAGGACATTGCAATTTTCATAATGGAGGAGGTCAGTGTTCTCTCAGGATAGATTGTTGAATTTCAAATTTGACAAACATTGCCCAAACTAGTTTTTGGGTTTTGCACATTTCTACAGGTTCTTGTCTTTAGTTAGTTGGAAAGACACAAGATATTGTGTGTAAGTCTCAATTTCTTAGCAGCTAAATTCAACTTTACTAAAACTATTAATGAAGTCTCACAATTCCTAGATATGACTTTGTGGAAGTTGAAGATGTCTCAGAAAGCAGTACCATTGTCAGAGGAAGGTGGTGTGGCCACAAGGAGATCCCTCCAAGGATAACTTCAAGAACAAACCAGATTAAAATCACATTTAAATCTGATGACTACTTTGTGGCAAAACCTGGATTCAAGATTTATTATTCATCTGTGGTGAGTAGCTAACCTGCCCTCTGATCCAAAGACACACTGGCTTCATAGTGCATAAGGATCACTTTCTGTGATTAAATACAGTACTGTAAGGGTAATGTAGTTCCTTATTGCATGTGTTATTCCTTCCCTCTGGATGGAATCTTAAAGAATGCCTATGTTTGTAAAGAAAGCCATTTGGATCTAGTATATCAAACTTGAGGGCATGGGTTTTAAAGGGAAATTAGAAAATAGAAATAGGAGTCTATAGTGTAGCGATTTCAACCAAAGCAATGTAAGTATAAATAGCCAAATGGGTGAGGTGTGTGTGTGTGAGTGTGTGTGTGTATGTGTGTGTGTGTGTGTGTGTGTGCGTATTAAACATGTTTTAAGACTTAAAAGAGACAACAAAATATTTCTCCCTTAGGTTTGAAAAGTTGTTCACAAATTTTTATCATAGAATTAAAATCCTACTAATTTTAGCTTAAATAATGCCCAAGAGTTGAGAAGGGCCCTTGTTTCTGACCAAGAACCTGAGTAAGCATCTTAAACACCATAAAGTCCTACTTTGGGCTCAATCATTTGAATCCTGTTTGATATACTCATGCTAATATATAACTGCCATTTTACTTAAACCTCTTAACAGCCATTTTCAACATCAAATAGTTCTGAGTGTTTGGAAATACCCAACTTCATAGTGGGCTGGAATCTAAATAATAGTTAATCCTAGCTGTTGGGACACACATGGTCATGTATCTTCTTTTCTCATCCATTCATCTAGCATAAAAGATGAGTGTCAAGAACATAGTCTATAAATGGCATACATTTGTTGGGTCTTTTTGTCTTTTCTGTTTGAATTTAATTTAGAAAAGAAAAATATCTTGCTGTTGTTATCATCTAATGTTTTCTTGCATTGTTTTGAGCTAGTAAACACTAAGGGAATTCTATATAAAAACAGTCAATGAAAAGCTAGCATAATCTGACACTGGTTCAAGTATTAATTTGGAAACCATCCATCATGCTTTACATTACTGGAGGCTTATATGGTGTTGTGAAGCACTGGAATTAAGAGTGAGTGCTTAGCTTCTCCATTTCTCTCCCTTTAATGTATGTACCTTTAATGTATGTAATGTATGTGATACATCTGTTCACAGTTGTTTGCAGGCAAAGTAGACTTGGCAAATTCAACTGGTGATGGGCAGACAGACTTAGCAAAAGACCTATTTTCTCTTAGATATCAAAGACTGCTACTGTAGGGCATGTAACTTCTGTGATGCCATAGCTATGATTAAGTTAAATTGTTCATAAGTCAGAGACAGGTTATTTGTATTATTTGTTTGTTTATTGTATGTGCATACTTATGCATGTACTTGCCCATGTAGGTTCTTTTGGAGCTATATGTTAACTTCTCAACCTTCTTTTAATTTTTTACTTATTCTTTGATAATTTCATACATGAATATGGGGTAATTAAGTCATATACATCCCTAGTTTCTTCTTCAACTACTCCTAGATAACCCCCAAGACATGTGCTCGTTCTCTCTCTCTCTCTCTCTCTCTCTGTCTCTCTCATGCCCCCTCTCTTGTGTGTGCATAGTCTTCCTTCCTCTACACTCTTCCCCTCCCTCCTACACCTCGCTGATCTGCATTACTGCTGCCCATATTCATTACTGCTGCACGTATTTTCATGGGTGTAGGGCATCATCCACTGAGCAACCTCCTCTGGGCTATTCCACTGAAAAGAACTGTCTCCCCCATCAACAGTCAACAACACCTGAACTAAGGATTGCACCTTATGATCTTCTTCACTTGCCAAGCTGTCCACACACGGTCATGTATCTTCATCTCTCATCCATTCATCTAGATAAAGGATGAGTGTCAAGTGGAACACAGTCTCTAAATGGCATCCATGGAGGAGATTGCTTTTCTCCCCTGTGGGACCATGAAAAGGATAGTTTGGCTTCTGGTGGAGTACTGGCTAGAGATGGCTGGAGACTCTGCAAGGGACGGCATACATTTTGCCATACTCCCAGAGTCCAGGCTCCTGACACATGGCCAAAGACCTCCATTTGATCAATGGAGTGCCTTTCAGTCATGTAGGGCAATGCCCCTACTAGCCTCTTCACAGGTAAAGGGCATGACTACAGGCCTAAGGGCTTCAAGAGATCTACATACTAATGAGATACCTAAAGGCCAGAGGGAGTAGCCAATTAAGCATTCCTTCTTAGACCCTCTTCCCTCCTCCCTCCCTATTTAACTCAGGTCTGCCCTGAGTTGGGGGTGGAGTGCAGCCAGATTCATCTACTTTCCGCCATGACAATAAAATCTTCAAAACCATGGACTGCCTCGTGTCTTTGGGGCCTTACCAATGGGAATCATGGAGAAGGCCTTTAACTAATAAGCCATTGCTGCCACCGCCTAATCTCCCAGTGAGGACTTCTCTACATTCCTGTCATGAAGGCCACCAATTCAAACAAGCTAGCTGACCCAGCCAAGCGAGTCCTAGTAACATAACAAAGAGTCTCAACTAGTAGGGCACTGTTGGGGCTTCCCTCCCCCTCGTTCCTCTCAGCTGTGGGCCAGCCCTGTATGCTCCCTTATCTTTGTTCTTCCACAGCTCTCAGTTGCATCTGGGAGCTCGAGGACATAGACCATCAGCCTCCGGGTCAGCCATCGGCCCAGAGACCACCACTCAAAAGCCCTGCCCCCACAGGACCTCAGACTGAGATCTCCCCCTACCTGAGTGGAGCCCCATAGTATCTACCCGGAGCTGCGTGGAGTGAACTCAGTCAAAATCCTGCACAAGACACTCGGGAACCACAACTCTGCCCAACAGGACTCACACTCACCCACGTGAGCTAACAACCCCACACTCCCCCAGCAGCCTGCAAAACCCCTTTGACACTGTGAAAACTAGCAAGCAGTGAGAGAAGCTTCCAGGTCAGTGGCAGTTTGATTTTTCCATGTTTATAACCAATGTGTGTGATGTCTTCAGCAACAAGGCCTTACTACCTAGTTCTAGTGGGTAGCCAAGAACATAGTCTGTATTCTTGGGTGGACTCCAAATAGGGGATAGAGATGCCCTCAAATCCAAAAACTTGACACAGTACATCTCACACCTGGAAGTGGTCTTTTTGTTACTTTGATTGAAACCAGTTACCTGTTTGGGATATATTGACTGGTCTGCAGGTCGCCAAGATTCTCTTATCTCTGCTCCTCCCCAGAACTGTAGTTACAGGTAGGAACCAGCACAGTTGGCTTGTATGTGGACGCCAGAGATCTGAACTTAGGTCCGCATATTTACACAGCAAGCAGTTTATCCACAAAGCCATCTCTCCAGACCATATCTCATGTCTCATATCATTGTTGCTAAGGTAAAACAACTGTGCAGTACAAATATGATCTTGTCAAAAGTAAGTGCGATAATGTGAGAAGTTGGGGTTTGTAATGCAGACTCTGTTCTTTCTCCAGCTAATGTTAAGTGGGATATTAACTATGGGAGTTTCTGGAAGCATCACAGGAAATGAACCACGAAAGGAAAAAAGGAAACTCATTTCAGTCCAACTTAGTAAGTGCTGGTTAAATCTTCTAGAGAGTCTAACACCAGATTTATTTTTAGCATATTTAAATGCAGTACAATTTTGGAAAAAAAGTTTTCTGATGTAATACAATCTCAGTGCACATGAAGACATAATTACAAAACTCAACTCAAAGTACATGTGACCACAAAGATTGGTTCTATAGCATAAGTACCTAGGATCTGATGTGGTCTGTGACTGAGATAGTGTAGGTTTCAGCAGGCTATAGATTATATGTGACAGCTCCCCTAAGGATAAGTTCTATTGACTGAGAAACAAAGCTGAATATAAAGGTCCTGGAAGAGAAATCATGGGCATTTGTGTGAGGTCTGGCTCTATGGATAGTAAAGGTCACCAGATCATTACAAACATTTACTTCCAGCCTTCTAGGTGGAAAGCAGGTATTCATTTCCTCCTCTGAGGAGACAACCCTGTGTGATTAATGTCCCTAGTTTCCTTGATGATCTATAGGCCCAAAGACCCTTGTGCTCCCAACAGACAATCTTCATGGTCTGATGTCAATTGTAGCACATTGGCCCCTTCATTTATCTCCACCCCTACAGACAATTGTACTATAAAGAAGTGGTAGTATGCATAGGACTGTTGTATTTTTTCTTATTGATCTCTCAGTCTGATTCACTGAGGTGTATATGCCTTTTGGAACAAGCTTCTTCCACTAAATATGGACAGTTAATGAGTTCAATGTCTAGGAATCTAGAAACTCTAGACAGGTGGCTTTTTACCAGAAATCTTCTGGGTTCTTGTTTTTGTTTTGTTTTCACTAAGTGTAGAAAGTCTCATGTATCTTAAACATGTTTAGAAAAACATTTTATTTTGTATGTGTACTTTACTTGGAGAGACTTTGCAAAGCACAGTTTGAAGCAATAAGTAGGCCTAGATGTAAGTTAATAGGAAGATTGTGGGTTTAAAGCATTCAGCTGCTAGCAAGCATACTTAAATACTGATTATCAGGATGCTAAGCATTTCTGAGGCTGAGTGAAGCTGTTTTATATCCTCTTATTTAAATAACAGTAGGCATTTTAGAAACTTGAGCCTTAGAAATTGCTTTCAGGGAGGCAGCACACCCCTGTAAAGTGGCGAATAGCTGTGAGGAAAAACAATGGCATCTTTCATAGCTCCATCTTTCTGATTTGTGCCTCCTATCTGGTGTCTCTGACCTCCTACCTCAGTGACTGTCCACCAGGGCACACCTTCACACACACACATCTTAAGAGGCTGCATGAGGTAGGTTCTCAGGGATCTAAAGACTCAATGTACTGTAATTCAATTTACATGTCCCACTTTCATATATTTTCAAATGTTCAATTTATATTTAATCAAATTTTATTATATCAGATTATGGAGGACAAATGGGTGACAGTAAAGTAATGTGGTTTGTGTTGGGAATGAATCTTCCATGTAAGCTTTATTTAATGTGCTTAGGATT